TGTCATCTAGAAGGTCCCTCCTGGCTAGATAAGCTTCACCAGACTAGTGAGGATAGAACTTAAATTGAGCGGCATGAGAATGAGAGGGGAGATATGTGAATGTATATGATATATATGCATGATACTTTAATATATATGTTATACAAATATAGTACACTTTCAAGGAGGTCAGCAGTTTTGGGAAGAACAGACAGAGGACGTGAGGTGAAAACAGGACCAAGAAATTAGGACCGTTTTTATGTGGAAGACACGAGCATGGTTGTTGGATGGAAGAAGAGAAATTACAACATATTCAAATGAGAGAAGGAATTACCCAGAACAAGGAGAGGAAAAAGAATATATTTTCCTCTGGGATGGAGTGGGTGGGGAAAGGAAGAAAATGAGAACCAGTGATAAGCTTTGGAGAGAGGAAGAAAGAGGGAAGATGTTCCTGAGTTAGCTCTCCTCCTCTTGAGGGAGAAGACAAGGCCTCTGCTCAGTAGGAAAGAGCTGGGGCTGAGCAGGGCTCAGGTGACAGGAAGTTGGCTGGGAAGAGATCTGCTGTGTATGTGTGGAGGGATTGACCTGAGTCTTGTCCCCAGGGTTCGCAATGGCAACTGGTACATGAGGTGACTGCCTCCAGAAGGGGCTTCCTAGGAGCAGGGAATGAGGTTGGAGATGGGGTGGGCACCAGGAAGTCACTATGGAAAACACAGTATGATAGGGCCTTCAGGCTGGGAAGGGCTAAGAACATATTGAAGGAGTAGAGACTTTGGCAAATCAATGGCTTTTTCCTGAATGGGAAAGACCAGAGAGTGTTGCCAAAGAGTAGGATTGTAAATTTCCAGTTTTCAGAGTTGGCTCATGTCTTGGTCCAAGTAAGGTCCAGGCTGCATCTGAGGACTTTAAGATAAAGGTCATGGCACTGGGAAAGACAACAGCTTGTGAAGCAGGATGAACCTGCTCAGGTCAATGACAGGGGATAGTGTGTGGGGCAAAGAGAGCATGAGCCACCAGTCCTGGATGCACATGGGGGAGGGACTTATAGAGTAGGAGATGAGAGTGGACCACAGGGGAGTGAGTGCACCATGCAAGTCTCCAAAGAAGCGCTACTGAGCAGCTGCCAGAGAGAGGAGAAAATCAAGGATTATTTACTTATTGAATAATTTATTTTTAGTTTTCAACCTGCATTACCCAACTGCCTTCTGGGCATCTTCTCTGGGATATATTGCTAGATTTTCTTCTCCCGAGTGAACCTATCTTCCCACCTCTCTAATTTACTCTTCTTTCTCCATTTCTTTAATTCTAGACCGTAACATCACCATTCATGTGGCCAGCTACTCTAAAAAGTAAGAAATAAAATTCACCTTCACCAGCCCTGCCTGTTCTCCACCCAGGCTGCTTTCTTCTCCCATCTGAAAGCTCTCATCCTTGTTCCAATAAAGAACAGTAATAAGAGAAACACCTCCAGAGTCAGACAGACCTGGTTGCAATCCCAGATGGATCGTTTCTACCTGGAATGATCTTGGGCACATGAGTGTCTTAAACCTAATTTTCTTCTTTGTAAAAGGGTTATAATACTAGTATTACTCCCATTATCATGAGATTTAAATGAATTAATGCATTTAAAGAACTGAGCACTGAATCTGGCATCTAATATGCCTTCTAAATTGTGAAGACCATTAATTTGGGGATTTTCTTCTTCTTTTGAAATCAAGTAATCTGCAAAGCTTATGACCATATTTCTTTTTATTTATTGTGGATGAACTTCTTAAATCATTACGAATGCTTTATTACAAATATGCTAGTAATAATCATTTCGATTTACTTAATCCAGTAATTTAAATTGTATGTGCTTTTATAAACACACCTTGAAGCAACAAACACACTTTAGACAATAAACACCTACAGATTAGCTTCCGTCATTTGTAAATTTTAATCAAGTATTTCAATAATTAATTCTAATATGTAAATAAAATGAAGTCACCGATACAATTTTAAACACGCCTTCATTAGAAAATACTAAATTCTAAACAAAACATCCTCACCAGAGGTTGCTACTAGACGTTTACACTCAAACGCTTACATTTGGTTACAAAATTTGGGCGACTGGAAGCCTAGACTAGCTGAGTTTTGAGCATGGGGAAAAAGAAACTGCTCTAGTGGTTGTCAGCCCCTGGGCTCCAATGGCCTCCCCCACCCCACCTGTCAAACCAACATTCACATTCTCTTCTTACTAATCCCTCCTTAAAGCTAAATTCAACTCCCCCTTATCCAGGGCAAAGGTTCAGAGTAAGAGGGAAAATAAGGACATGACTAACTCTGACTGGTGAATTGCAACATTATTCCACTGCCTACTACCTGCTCTGCCATCATCTTCAGCACCTCTTCCTCCTCCTCATTCTCTTTCTCAGTCTTCTCCCACCATTGCTATTGAACCTGAACACTTAAATGAATGAACAGATCAGTGTGATTGGGGAAACATTCCACTGTGATGGCAGCAGGCAAATGGAAGCATGGCTTGCGTGGCTGCTTTGCAAAAAGTTCTAGAAGCTACCAAAACTCAATACTAATTTTCTTCCATGAAGAAAGCCAATGGCAGACTCAGGTTAGGATTACGATTAGATGAAATTTTGTATTAGATGTTTGGTGTATCCGATATCTTCTTCTTTTAATGAAGGTGCCTTCCAAGGAAGATATCTACTATGGATAGCAAGAGATAGATTAAGAGATAAATGGCCCTATCTTTTTGGTTCCCCAAACCTCTACATTCTATCCAAATGTTATGTGTATCCTCGCCCTTTGTCCACCCACCACAGATGGAATAAACATCCATCACAGAAGCCAGACACTTTCTCTGCGCTAGTTTGTTTCAGAAAATCTATCATTTGCACTGAGAGCTCATTAAGAAAAGAAAAAAAAAAGTTTCCACTGTGCTTGCAAACAAAAACCTAACCCTGAAATATTCATATATGGATCCTAACACATACAGGTATAGATTTAAAGAAAGAAAGAAAGAAAGAAAAATGGAAAGAACAAAGGTTACTTCATGAAAAAAGCCAGTTTAGAAAGAGGAAAAACATGTTGGGTTTGAGCAACCACACTGTTTTTCATACCAAATAGAACCCCAAAAATTGATGGCAATGTGTCCATCTATGCTAGCTCCTGATCCTGGCATATCCCATAGTAGAGAAATGGAATTGTGGTTCAGCAGCAAAGACCTGGGCCCTCGTTTTCCCAGTGGCCTAAATCAATCCCTAGTCCAGGACAAGATGCTGAGCAAGATGCGTAATTATTTCAGGCCACTAGGGTAAGCACTATTCCTGGCAACTCTGCAGGCAGTGCCATGGGTGAGGGTTTCTAATTCTCTTTGGTGATTTGGTTCTGTGTAAACGGAGATTTTTCCTTCCAGTATTTCAGCCAGAGAAGCAGGAAGGACCAGCTCCAGTCCTGAGATAGAGCCAATCAAGGTCAATTTCTGTTCCTTTTTCTGCATAGTTGAGTCTATTCTTTCCCTGCTCCCTATCCTGACATCAGATCATTTTTTTCTGATTATCAAATACCTACTGAGAGAAATTTGGCAGCCTCCGGTGCTCTCCTAATATCCAAAAGCCTCTCAGCCTAAGAAATGTCATGAATAACCCGCAAAGCAGTGTCCTCCAGAGGCAACCTCAGACCCCGAGACTATGAACCACAGAAAGGTGTCCCCCGTAAGTATTTTGGTGGTTGAGACCAATGCGGAGTCTATACTGATTCAACTTGCCTATTACCAAATCTCTAATTCTTGGCTTTGAACAGTACCACGACATACTCAAGTTAATATCTCACATAGGAAGAGAAAAACAAATCTTGTCATTCCCATTTGGCGGATGGTGAAATAGAGGTTTTCAAATTTAAAAGAGTTGCCTAAATTGAATTCAACAAAACAGTGTTGTAGCTAGAAAGTAGATCAGCTGACACCTGTCCCCAGTTTTTTAGGTCACTGGCTTTTTGTAAGTTTAGAGCAGTGTTTTACTTACGATATTCCTCCTTGAGATCTTCTATTTACTTTGTTAAACTGTGGATACCAGGGGAGAGGTACCAGGTGTACATTCCAGACATTTACACAATATCCACAGACTGAGCAGTCTGCCTGTTGGGTACATAGCTCTTGGCTAAAGAATTTCTAAGTTGTCAGAAGAACAAATGAGGCATTAGGGGCTCTGATATGAAAGGAAATTGCACATACCCCTGCAAAGATAGATTAAAACCATCCTGTTCCTTATTACAAATGAAAAGCTGACCGATTTAATCTGTGCTTTTTCAAATTACATTGCTCTCCCCCTGTATCTTCATTAAATAAATGCAAACACATGTGCTTAGAAATGGGTAGGTGTAAAAGAACATTCTGCACAATTATATCTAGGCTACCAGAGATTTATATCACACGCACACATATATCTAGGAGATGTTAATTCATGATGACAGCTGAGCATGACAAATGCAACAGTACACAAGTTGGAATGCCGGAAAAAAATGCAACTACAAACCCCATGCAGACAAACAAGCATACAGGAGTTTTCCCTCAACACACACGTGGTCGCACTTACAGGAGCTTAACCACTTTGATAAACCCCAAACACAAACACAGGAGGCTCCGCAGTTCGCGAGCTGCCCCCACACATGCAGCCGCGCCTTCGTCTACAGGCAGGGATTCGCGCGCGTCCCTGGGTACACTCGCCCTCCCACCGGCATCCCACTGCGCGAACACACGCGCGCCAACCGCTCCCCGCGCCCGCCCGCCCGCGGGGGAAGCGTTGGCTCCCGGGGCTGGGGGCAGGGCCGGGTGGGGCCGGAGCGCCGCGGGGCCGGGCCTCGGCGCCTGGGGAGGGGACAAGGGGCGGGCGCGGGGTGGCGCCCGGCTCACGTGGGCGGGCGGGAGCAGCTGAAGGTCTGTTCCGGAGCCTGGGCTGTCCTCTCGCGCGCGGCGCTGGCCCCGGCGGCGGCGGGGAAGGAGGCGGAGGAGGAGGAGGAGGAGGAGGAGGAAGGCGGCGGTGGCGGCGGCGAAAGAAGAGGGGAGGACGGGGGCGGCGTCGGACTGGAGCCGAGCGGCGGCGCGAGCTGCCCGGGGCGCTGTAGTGAGCTCGCCCGCCGGGCCCCCATCCCCGAGCTACACCCTGCCGTGCCCAGCTCTGCCCGCGTCCGTGCCCCCGCGGGGAGCGCGCCGGGGCTGCCCCCCGAATGACGGGCGGAAGGTTCGACTTCGACGATGGCGGCACCTACTGCGGCGGCTGGGAGGAGGGCAAGGCGCACGGGCATGGCATCTGCACGGGGCCCAAGGGCCAGGGCGAATACTCGGGCTCCTGGTCGCACGGCTTCGAGGTGGCTGGAGGCTACACCTGGCCCAGCGGCAACACCTACCAGGGCTACTGGGCTCAGGGCAAGCGGCACGGGCTGGGGGTGGAGACGAAGGGCAAGTGGATGTACCGGGGGGAGTGGTCACATGGTTTCAAGGGGCGCTACGGGGTCCGGCAGAGCCTGTGCACCCCCGCTCGCTACGAGGGTACCTGGAGTAACGGGCTGCAGGACGGGTACGGCGTGGAGACCTACGGGGACGGAGGTGAGCAGCGTCGCAGGCGGCTCGGCTGCTCCGTGAGCTGGTGCGGTGGGCTTTGCCCAGGCTGCGGGGAAGCGGGGAGGACGAGAGGCGCACGTGTCCGGAAACCCGCCAAAACACCTGGGGAAGCCTCCCACCCATCTCCCGCGCCAGCGTGGAGACGCGACTAGTGCGCGGGTGGGTTTGCTCTGACCCGGTTCCTGGAACGGGCAGTGTGTCCACACCCGGGGGAGCAAGGCGTGAATATACCTGGCCGGCGCCAGCACTGCACTGCCACCAGGAGGGAGCGCCGCCCGGGTGGGTTGGGCAGGGGAGAGGACGCTGTCACTTGAGCCCGTCACATTACGTTCCTGATCCCTCCCTCTCCCGGCCGGGTTTGAAAACGCCACTCCGGTGGAGTTAGAGCGAACGCCCTGGGCTTGTGAGGCTGGCGGTCGGCGCTGACCGCTCCCCGGATTGGTTTCACGTGGAGTCGTATTTCGCTTCTGGTCCTCTAGTAGCCTAAAGATAGAAGCCAGAACCCCATAACTAGGATGTAGGGGAATTGTACCTTACTTGGAGTGCATTTGGAAACATCGTAGCTATGGAGGTGGAGAAGCCACCTGATGCAGGTGCGGCTCAGAGGGTGTGAGTTTCCCTTCCCGGTTTTCATTCGGTTCCCTAAAGTAGTAGTTTTCCATCAGAAAAATGGTAGTCCTTGCTGACCTGGAGATCTTTGGGCAAGTTACTAGGAAAATGGCTTAGAAATGAACAATGAAGGCCACGTTTTAAGAAATATATTCAAAAGATACATTCCTACAGTTGCTAAGTTAGCAGCCACTTCACTCCAGCGAATGGCAGTATGGAATCACCAAATTGTGCTGAGGTTGTATGACCTTAGCACGCAATGAACAAAATTGTTATATGAACAAATATGAACAAAATTCACCTGATTTTACTATTTAACAACTTTGTGAAATAAATTGTGTATATAATAGGGCAGAGTTCCTTTTTTTTTTTTTTAATTAGGAAAAGTATCCATTACTGAAACAGGTGTCAAAACCTGATGAATTTTCTTGTGTAATAAGCTGAGAAGGATGAATAGCTTATGCTTTGGCAAAATGCATTTTCTGATGATAAACATAATCATAGTTAATTGAAAAAGGTTAGGGGAGGCAGTGTCAACTTTTGTCGTCACACAGCTCAGAGTTGAAGGGAATTAAAAGGATCCAATTAAAAGTTTCTCCAGCCCACTGCATAAAAGCTTATACAGTTAGTACACTTCACTTACTCAGCACACTTGGGCTGTATTTCAAATGCAAAATAGTAGGATTCAATGGTAGAATTTGATAAAAAGACATCTCTTGGACCTACAGTATAAATAAAGGATACGGTTCTCATGGATTAAAAGGAGGGAGGGGAACTTTCTCTAATACTTTTATATGGGCTCCAGTCTTGAGTTTCACAGTAGTTAATTAGGGCCCTTAAATATTCTGAATGGGCATATAGTGCCTTGGTTGACAGCCCTGTAAATATATTAGCTTGTGATTGGATTTTATTGGAGCCTCTAGGTCTGTAATATAACTAAATTCCATGCTCAAAAGTAGAAGGCAAAATTTATTTTTTAAATTTGCATGTTATTTTGTAACCTCTTAAGAAGGCCGAGGATAGTTCTCTTCAGTTTGGGAAGGTTTAAAATAAATTAGTCTTAAATAAAAAAATAAATCTTTTAAAGTTACTACTCATTACACAAAATCTCTTGGTTTAGAGGATTCATTACACTTAGCAAATACATAGATATAGATATATCTTTCTATTTATGTATAGGTAGAAAGATATATCTATCAGTGAAGGTCCTCTATGTATGTGCTGTAGAAGCTCAAATAAGTGACCAGGATGATGTTATGGATAATCTGCCTTCTGATTTAAAACTATTTTTTTAAAGATTTTATTTTATTTATTTGACATACACAGATCATAAGTAGGCGGAGAGGCAGGCGGGGGGGTGGGCAGGGAGCAGGCTCCCTGCATAGCAGAGAACCCGATGTGGGGCTCGATCACAGGACCCCGGGATCATGACCTGAGCTGAAGGCAGAGGCTTAACCCACTGAGCCACCCAGGCACCCCTGATTTAAAACTACCTTAAAAAATTTTTTTAAACCCGTAAAATTTGGCATCATGTGGTTTTCCTCTTCTACAAAAAGAAAAAAAAAAAATTCAAATATGATCCCAGTTAGGAAAGAAAAAAAAAAAACCTTAAAAATCACTTTGAATGTCTGCTCTATGCTAGTTGATTTTCCTGCTTTCTTTCATATGTCACTTCGTTAGAAAGTCCCTAATCATAAAGTGAGGATCTAAGTAGAAGTGTATTGCTATAACTTATTTTATGCAAAAGTTTTGGTCAAAATAGGAATTACCACCTTCCCTATTTTTAAGAATGAGTTTCTTTTTGTCTCTGCACTACCACCTGTCCATCCCTGTGCACCCTTTGTCAAACTTAGGGAAAATCTGATTCCATGTATTTTGTGACATTTAACTAGAAGATGGAGTATTAATTCCATAAGGAATGTATCACCTGATTATTTTATTAGTGATTTGTGTGTAAAGTGTTGCCAAAACTGCCTAAATATTAATTAAGAATAAAATAGTATAGTACTAATGAAATCCAAAATCTAGGCATAAATTCTGATCTGCTGCATCTCATTTTTTTCACCAGTCATAAACTATTGAAAATATCTAGGAAGGCACATTGCTTTATTAATTATGTGCATAGTCACATATACCCATTCATAGCACATGAATATAAATTTGGCATAGTGCAATCTACATTTGACTGGGACTCATTCTGAACTGGGTGACTTATGCTATAAGATTATGTAGTTAAAATGGCTATATCTAGGAAAGCAGTGCCCAGATGAAAAAGTCATAGAACATAATTTAAAACAAAACCTGTAAAAATAATTTTTACACTTGTGAAATATGCATCTTTATTTGAGGGATGGAGACGAACTAATGAGAACTTTATTTGGACAGCAGGGAAAAGCTGGAACCCACCTGCTTCATAAAAAAAAATAGAAGCCCTTTTTTTCCCCAAAGTTCATTGACTAAACCCATTTTAAATTTCAGATGAACTACTAACAGTTTGACTATAAATTGGTGTTTAGCAATTCCATGGAAGTAGTCTTCCATATACTGTGATTTAACAAAATAAGATAGGAACATTTCCAATGCAGTTGCCCCCCGCTCCCCTCCCTGTTTGACAGTTAAGCAGAGACCTAAACTTTCTAATTACTGCTGTTGCCTTAAACTGCTTGGATTTTCAAGCAATACTTATTTGGAAATTCTAAATACTCCTCTTACTTTTGGAGATACCAGTTACAGAAACTACTTATTAATTTTCTCTCAGTGTTAAACATTTGCTAAGATGGTATGGTTGCATTTTCAAAATATAAAACCTATCAAATAGCACCTTTGGAAACTGTTCTTGCAAAATTAACTTGTCATTGTGTAGAAAGGTAGAGATGATTATAGCATTACTTGTTTATTTAAACAAAATATTTTAAAAACAAGGTTGTTTTGGTATGTATAAGTCAGTTTGTAGAACTTTTATCCTAGAACTTGTATTTTACCCATATAGGCAGAGGGAAAGTCAAAGTTGAAATCTCCTAATTTCATTCCCTTCCCTGTTAAGGCGGTGGTATTTGGAAATGGCTAATATTCAGTAGGAACCTTTTTAACCTGGAATGTTCTATGTGACTATCTTATCCTTTGGGGTTTAATCCTTTTGAGAAAACTATGGTCCACCTACCTCCTCAGAAGTTCATACATGTCAGGTTAAGATTCCTATTTACCCAAAATAGGACATTCATAGTACCAGACCTACTTAGAATTTCATTGTTGTCCCACTGTTGTCGGTTTATACGACATAAGTATATCAAACTAAACAGAAAGAGAAGGTAGTCATGAAATTTGTCAAAACTTTTGACTTTGGAGCCATTACAGTTTTAAATGTATTGAAATAATCAGCCCATATTAATACAATGATATAAAACCACTAGCATATATAGCTCAAGTATTTAAAAAGTAAATGGAGGGGCGCCTGGGTGGCTCAGTGGTTTAAGCCTCTGTCTTCGGCTCAGGTCATGATCTCAGGGTCTTGGGATCAAGCCCCACATTGAGCTCTCCGCTCAATGGAAGCCTGCTTCCCCCTTTCTCTCTGCCTGCCTCTTTGCCTACTTCTGATTTCTCTCTGTCAAATAAATAAAGTCTTTAAAAAAATACTTAAAAAAGTAAATGGAAATCTAAATGAAAAGTGACTGCAAGTTAGATCTATATAATCAGAAACTGAAAGAGGCCAAAAAAGACTAATCATGATTTATTTTCTATTATATTGTGAGTTACTATGATAATACAGAAGTAATTACATCTTAAAATTTCCACATAGCTCCTTTTGGGGGGATACTATAATTTAAAATGTACCTTTAATTAAAGGAAATCTCCCTGATTTTGAAAAGTCTAAGTTCCCTAATTTTAATATTCAGTGTTTCATGTGATTTAAAAAGCCACACCAGGTTATTTAGCTAATTTATTTAATAGAAAAACTTACCAAACACAAATGCTTTAGAGATTATCCTATTCCTAAAATGGCATAATATTCATTGAAAAAGTGATCTGGTATCACCAAACTTCTAAGAGATGCCTTTGCTCTGAGATGAATTATATACTGTTAGGAGTGGAAGATCTACTCTGGTCTTCTCTCAGTTTTTCTAGGGGTAAGTAGTATATTCTTTTGAGCCACCATAGCTATTTACTATAAAGTCATCAAACACCTACAGATCACAGGGCACATAAGTTATAAGACTGCAAATTTTGTGTTTGCTTTGAAGGTAATTCCTGCCCTCAGAGTGCTTCTAGTCCACATGTTTCATTCTGTTGTGTCAGAGACTAGGGAAGTCAATGAAGAGAATGGCAAGGAGAAAGCAAAACTTTGGCAAGTAGTACAGGACAAATCTTGACCGTTTCACCTGGAAGTACAAAATCTTGTAATAAATTGCCCATTTTTTAGTAATGGTTCGCTATGTTCAGAATACATATAGTATTTGTCAAATCAACCTTAGCACCAAAAATTTCTTCCAAATCTAAATAATAAGCCTAAATACACACTTTTCCCTATCTTAAAAAAATTAACATGAAAGAAAAAAATGTAAAATAATTTGATGGCCCATGTCCTGAGTACTCAGATCACTAATAATTTTAAGTCTTTGAGCCTGTTGGAATGTTATAGTGACAGACCTAGAGTTTTTAAAGGTTTTCAGCTAAATGAGTAAAATTAGAATAAAATTCACAAATAGAACTCATTTCATCTTCTGTGACACTGCCTGCCTTCCTTTGGGGGATTTTGATGTGTTAATTTCAGGGGAGAAAAGTTGTTTTCTAATGATCACTCTTTTTGTATTAGAAAGCAGTGGTTTCATCTGAAACACTCGGATAAATTTTTTAATGAAAAGCAAAGTTACCAGACTATTGGAAAATGCTATACAATTACATTAAAGCCATAGACACAAAATTACAGGGCAGGAATTCGCAAATGGATGAAAAGTAGCGCTTAGAGTTGACTTGGAAACGTGTGGGATTTGACCGAGGGCCTGCCTGCTCTATGCGCCAGGGTCTCCCAGAGCGCACCCAGGCGCTTCGGGCGCTTGCAGCCCAGACGGCACCCCCCTGTCCCCCGACTCACGCTGTGCTTTCTCACGGTCTCTCTCGAAGGTACCTACCAGGGCCAGTGGGCCGGCGGAATGCGGCATGGCTACGGCGTGCGCCAGAGCGTGCCCTACGGCATGGCCACCGTGATCCGCTCGCCGCTGCGCACCTCCATGGCCTCGCTGCGCAGTGAGCAGAGCAATGGCAGCGTGCTCCACGACGCCGCGGCCGCTGCTGACAGCCCCGCCGGCACGCGCGGCGGCTTCGTGCTCAACTTCCATGCCGACGCGGAGCTCGCGGGCAAGAAGAAGGGCGGCCTCTTCCGAAGGGGCTCCCTTCTCGGAAGCATGAAACTTCGCAAGTCCGAATCCAAGTCTTCCATCTCCAGTAAGCGCAGCTCGGTCCGCAGCGACGCGGCCATGAGCCGAATCAGTTCCAGCGATGCCAACTCCACGATCAGCTTCGGCGACGTAGATTGTGATTTTTGCCCCGTGGAAGACCACGTCGACGCCACCACCACGGAAACCTACATGGGCGAGTGGAAGAACGACAAGCGCAATGGTTTCGGCATCAGCGAGCGCTCCAACGGCATGAAGTATGAAGGCGAGTGGGCAAATAACAAGAGGCACGGGTATGGCTGCACCGTGTTTCCTGACGGCTCCAAAGAAGAGGGAAAATACAAAAATAATATTCTGGTCCGTGGAATAAGGAAGCAGCTTATACCAATAAGAAATACAAAAACTAGGGAGAAGGTGGACAGAGCAATTGAAGGCGCGCAAAGGGCAGCGGCCATGGCGAGAACCAAGGTGGAAATAGCAAATTCAAGGTATGGAAATTGCAGGGTGGGTGGTTGTGCCTGGTCCTTCAAAAAAGTGGGATATCAAATATTACGTTTGTCATTCTGCTGGTAACGTCACCAAAGAGCTGCTAGAACCAAAGTTAGAGAATGATGGAAGTGCAGTGGAGTGGGTCAGAAAAGTACCTGCACTGTTCTGAAACGTCATCATCACAAAATGTTGAAGGCACATTGAGATCCCCTTCTTGATGCAGATTACTTCCCTAATACTTAATGGCTGGTCGCTCAGACCCTATGCACATTTTCAGGAATTCAGAAAGTTACTTCCAGGGGTGGTTTTTTGTTTGTTTTTGTTTTATTGAGAAGGCCTCAAAATCTAAAGACAGCAGAAATGGAAAGTTACAAGACCAAATCTTGCATGGTTCTTTAAGACAAAGCTCCCGTCCAAGTTAAGGAGGGCACTTGTGAGCACTGGGTGTTGTATGTAAGTGATGAATCACTGAATTCTACTCCAGAAACCAATATTGCACTGTATGTTAACTGCCTAAAATTTTAAAAGTAGTAATTAATAAGTAAAATATCACTCCAAAAATATGAAAAAACAAAAAACCTCATCTCTGTGGGAGTGGCAGAGGGATTAAGGCTCATACAAAGCTCTGCGTTCTATGCAGGAATGATTAGATCAGTGGCGTACTAAAAGGAAAGGGGTGGGGAGGAACCTGACATGGACAGATGGGACTGTCAGTGTGCCAAAGTTGGAAGAAAGTAGAGCAGTAGAGAAGGGATGGAGTGAGTAGGAGAAAGCGGTGAATTATAGATTGAGAAGTGGGGTGTATGTGGGCACAGAAGGATTATGTGCCTGAAGTTTTACCATTAATAGCTGGGTTCAGGGATCCAGCAGGAGGGTTGGAGAAATCTATTGGGAATAGAATTGTCTTATTGTAGACAAAAGAGGTGGTTATAAATGGGAAATATTATTTTGGGTCTTATTTACGAGCCACCGACTGGCCACAGTTTTGTATAACTTGAGGCAAATGTCTTTTCCTGCTTCAGTAGTATTTTCTCGTAGAAGTAAGCCTTCTTTCAAAGCCACAAAATATTAGCATGTCTTCAGTTTTTATTCTTAGCATTGAATAAATGGACTCTCCTTTGCTTTGGCTGAACCATATGAAATTATTGATATTTGGACCTTTTGATGTTCAAAAAATGGCAATTTCATGTGGTTCAACTCAATACTTTCAGACTTCGGAAGTTTCTATTAAAAAAAAAACTTTTATGGCTGCTGTTTACTTCTTAGTATCTGAAGCACCACTTGTTCTTTTTTTTGCATTATACTGAGGTATGTATTAAAAGTCTTCAGGATTTCCATCTTTATCCCAAACTCATCCTGCTTTAAAGTTAATATTGTTTGCTGATCAGCACAGACTTTCAGGAAGGGTCTCACCTCTCCTCTCTGCGGGGCATCCTTTATTTTAGATCACAGTTTTCCCAGATCACCAAGCATTGTATTACTTGCTTTTCAGTTTGCTTATAGATGGTATTCTTGGCACATCTAATCTGACTGGCTTCTCTGGCTCTCAGCTAACTTTTAGAGCTAGTGATATACCTTTGGTTATGTCCTGACCTCTCGTTTCAAATGTACTCCTGGATTCTTCCATTTGTTTTCCCCTTAGAGCCTGGTGATCTAGTAGAGGCAGTTCGATCTTGGCAGATGGGAAGTGCACCTGCACAGGACACGAGCAAATGACTTTCTTAGACTTGCTTTAATTATTGACTTTTATGGTTTAAATTGGAAGAATCTAAATAATGAAAGTGAAATGCTTGTAATGCAAGGATCTGTGATTATACTAGCATCATAAAACTCTTAACCCAAGTCCTAGCCACATCCCCTCTGTTGAAAGTCTTTCAGGGATAGTAAAGTAGTTTGACAGTACTATATTGCATAGTTGATAATCAACAAATGCACTTTTTTTTTCTTAAGATTTTATTTATTTATTTGATAGATAGAGATCACAAGTAGGCAGAGAGGCAGGCAGAGAGAGCGAGAGGAGGAAGCAGGCTCCCTGCTGAGCAGAGAGCCTGATGTGGGGCTCGATCCCAGCACCCTGGGATCATGACCTGAGCCGAAGGCAGAGGCTTTAACCCACTGAGCCACCCAGGCGCCCCAACAAATGCACTTTTAGCCAGTTAACTGCCTCATTAATATTTCACTTAGCTATTTTGCAAACGCTCAATACCTTATACTAAGTGAAATAAACCAGTCATAGGACAAATATTGCATGATTCCACTTAAATGAGGTCTCTAAAATGGTCAGACTCCTAGAAACAGTAAAATGGTGGTTGCCAGAGGCTGGAGGGAGGGGGAAATGTGGAGCTGCTGTTCAATAGCTCTAAAGTTTCAGTTAAGCAAGGTGATTGTGCCTGTAGCTAACAATACTGTATTGTGTACATAAAAATTCGCTAAGAGGGTAGATCTCATGTGAAGTGTTTTAACCACAGTAAAAAATTTATACTATTTGGATGATGCAATAGACAAAATACTCAATTAACCTTTTATGTCTGTCTTTCACTATGTTACTCCTCTTTCCAGATTCCTTGCTTTAATAAATACTTCAGATACAGATTTTTGCTACTTCTTTTTGTAGAAAGTAATTGAAGGACTGACCGTCCCCTTCGGTAGCTCTGAGCTTAAAGTTCTACATTCTTTTTTTTTTTTTTTTTTTTAAGATTTTATTTATTTATTTGACAGAGAGAGATCACAAGTAGACGGAGAGGCTGGCAGAGAGAGAGAGAGAGAGGGAAGCAGGCCTCCCGCTGAGCAGAGAGCCCGATGTGGGACCCGATCCCAGGACCCTGAGACCATGACCCGAGCCGAAGGCAGCGGCTTAACCCACTGAGCCACCCAGGCGCCCAAGTTCTACATTCTTTTAAAAACTTTTTTGGGTCACCTGGGTGGCTCAGTTGGTGGCTCTCGATTTCGGCTCAGGTCACGATCTTGGGGTGGTGAGATTAAGCCTCCCCCACCCCACCCCGTGGGTTCTGCCCTCAGCAGGGAGTCTGCTTGAGATTTTCTCTCCCCCTCTCCCCCTTCCCCCAACCCCGCTCTCATAAATAAATCTTTAAAAAATTAATAAATTATTAAAAATTATTTTTCTTTTTTTTTTTTTTTTTAAGAGAGAAAAAGCTTCCTTTAAGGTTTTGGAGATTGCTGGCTAGGGAATGGACTTCTTACTCTATTGTCATAAACCATGACTCTTGATAATACCTGAGGATCTGCTTAGTCCTTCCTGGACCCTCCAGTAGTTACCATTAATGTTTTGTTTCTAAAAAATAGCAAAAGTTTAAGAATGTAGGTGACACTCTCCTCTTGGTCCTGCCCCAGTAATGGCAGAATAACAACTATAAAATCAGGCTTCTGGCAGCTGCAGCACTCAAAATCACGCATTTGCCACTAGCAACAGAAGGAGATGGTCATAGTCACTGACCAGCTCAGTTTGCCACTAATTGCTAATTAGTGCTAATCATTATTCTGTTGCTGTTATTTCTTAGGTTGTGGAGAGTTTTTGTTGCTTAAGTCTCAGGAAAATGGATCCATTTTTGTGCCATAACCCTGTATTATCTTGAAGCCAAGCTTCAAGTTAGCCCTGAGAGAAAACAATGGTATCCTCCTCAGGGAAATCAAGAGACGTGGAAACAACCACCTTTGGCCAAGAGATTCAAGAAGGTCTGTGGACCTTTCCTTTGCTTCTTTGAAGAGAAAGTGGTGTGTCTCAGCAGGAAACACACAGGAGTCTTATTTCAGAAGGTGTATTATGGACCCCTGTTTAATTCTTACCAATAAGGGAATGTGAGAATCGCATAACAGTTAGTAGATAATGGAAATAATGCAGCAGATAGAGCATTAGTAGATACTGATCATTTACTAGCAGGTTAGCTCTTAAAGAGTGAAAACTCTAAGGGAGACTAATAATTTGCTGTCTTTTATAAGTTTTCTTCAGGTTTCTGTTCTAATCAAGTATTATGTCTATTAGATGTAACAAAATGTTTTCTTCCCTTCTTGTCTTGGGCCTGTGGGTAAAAATCATCTCCTGGAATTGAGAAAATGTCTCAATATTGTTTTTAAAAGAAATGTTCAAGAGGTAAGGGAGCAACTCTATTTCAGGCCCCTCACATTCAGAGGCAAAGACCACAGCTCTGCCCAAGATGACCCTACTTTGCCTGTTTCTAGTACATTTCTCGTTTGGTCATTCTTACTCCATGAACTCTTGTCTCCAGTCATCGCCTAAGAGATGTTCAAAATACTGGTCCTTGAGAAACATATTTTAAGGAAGAATTTTAAGGTGAGGCATTTGGATGAGTTAGCCAGTAAGTTGCCCTTAGAGAAGCATACTTTGGTGGAAAAGAATAGATAATTTAGAAAAGGATGTAGACAAAAGAAGAGCTTTATAGACTCTGAGCCCCAGAGGACATGATTATCGTGCTAAAGGATGGAAGAAGGCTGGTGACAGGGATGGGAGAGAGTTGGCCTCAAGCAGTTGAGAACCACACGCTGGCTTCATTGTATCACATAGATTAGAAGAAAGAAAATAAACTGGGAGGATAGACTGGACCACCGTTCTGACTCTGTGGAGGCCTCACTGAAGCTGGGAGGGTGTGTGGCTGGACTGGCTTCGAGACTACTGTGAAGTGTCAGTGGTTGCTCCCAGTCTCCCCCAGACTTCAGGCTCTGACAGCAGCACTGAGACAGGTAATGTTGGGACGGAGCCCTGTAGTGTATCCAGCCCAGCCCCAACCCCGCTGGGCCCAGCACAGATGTAGTTGTACAGGGGGATGGAAGCACCAGATTGAATATGGAGGCCTGAAGCTCGAGGGATCTGGGACACAGGTGAGCCTGCTGTACCTATTTTCAGAACTAGAGATTGGATTCCATGTTGTCAGTTTTGGAGTTTAATATTAAAAAAATTTAAAAATGACACTTTTTTTCCAAAAACCCTACATATGTACCATAGTTTTCTTCTAAAAAGATATAA